GTAAACAATATATTTCAACCAGATTGACTGCATTCAACGGGAGCTTTCGGGATAACTTGGCCAGACAATGATGTTCATGAAAACAGACTCGGACACGCATAAAGAAAATGAGAGCAACAAGAAACGGAGATATAAACCATTCGGGCTTCTTGAAGCACGTTCTGGAAACATGCCATTGCATTACGAGGGAGGGTGGAAACATTTTAGATTATGAGACAAACTGGAGAAAAAGAAAGGCTATGGGGGTATTTTGTATTTTCAAAACAGCTAGTGACCAACTTTTTCATGCGAAACCAGGGGTGCCGATAGCGAGTGCATATCGAATCTTGGAATTACATGCCCAGAACATGACAAAGAGCTGTCGGCTCGGGACAATATGTGATACGGGGCACGTTAGCGGGCTTGCGGTTAGGCAATTCGTACGCGTTTGCGTTATATTGTTGTAGTGAGGCAATATGCCATAAGCGTGGCTATTGAATAAATTCCGAAATGTGGGATAACTATGCATATGTGTAAGAGGTATGCGGGGAGACGGTTAGTTGTCATGTGACATGACAACATTTAGAAGAAACGCACTGAAATCGCATACAAATTGCGAGTACTTTGCGTGTGCTCTTTGTCAACGACTTAAATTATTTATCAGCGGCTGAATTGTTAAATCGGTCATCTATTATTCTTTCGCTGCATTCGAGGGATGGGCATGCTAGATGGCACATGAGTCTTCAGGTTTTGCTCAAGGCGTGCCTAAATATGTTTTCATGAGTGTCATTGTCTGCCCAAGGCTGAAGAGCGGATATAGATTCCCCCGAAAGCTCCCGTTGAATACAGGCAAGCTGGTTGGAATCGATCTTGCTTACATTGTTCAGCTTTACATGTTCATACCCACCAGATCAGGTCCTGTGGCGGCACTAAACTTTGACGGGCGTGTTCCTTGTGCTGTGCGGAGTATAATGTGTAATTCTATGTGTTTTAGCATATATTTATGGTGTATGGCTCCATTGATGTAGCCGTGCAGGCCCGCCGTGTGCGGTCCGCGGGATCGTCGAATGCCGCCCGCCGCCCGCGCCAGCCGTGTATCGCCGCGGAATGTTCCACATGCAGGGTAACAGCAGAGGTAGGATATGTGGAGCGATGGCGACGACACTAGCCAGCGCTTAGCGGAAAGAGGAGGCGGGATGAAGTGCGAGAGCCGGGGTTCATGTCACTTGAGTAAGGATGGAAAGCATATCTCTCATCGATTCATTTTGACCAATTTCCTTTCGCCCATCCTCATTATGTGCTATGCTGAACTGTGCTGCCCTCCTCGTTTATGTCCTGTCTCGTCATGTCATATCCATTCTTGTCCTGGCTTGTCTGCTGTTCTATTCTCATGGTGGCAATGGTGTAGTGTTTAACGCGTCTGCGTTTACCATAGCATGTCTGGGAAACCAGAGGTGCGGGGCTCAATTTCCAGCGGTGCCCTCCCTTCCTGCCAGGGTGAGAGGCAGGTGACGCTATTATAGCCTCAGCAGCTGAGTGCGTCTTTAAGCCTCAATGAAGACTGCTGTTCTACCCTGTCATCTCCTGCTCTGTATTGTTATCTTGTCCTCTATCCTGTTCTACCTTATTCTCTCTCATCCCGCCCATCCTGATTTTAGCCTCTCTCATTCCATTCCGTTTTGATTATACGTCGACAACACCTACGTTTGCACGCATGCCACTTCCGTGTTAAAAAGGTATTATTATGCTTGCCAATTTTGTGCTCACAGCGGCATTTTCCTGGGAGCACGGTAGGTCGGTAGGTAGGTGGGCGAGTAGAGCACGGTAAGAGAACGTCTCTAATTTGGTAGCTTTGAAGCAGATTTTTACCCTGAAGTGGCGTTTTTCAGTCTACTAGAATAAATACTCGCGTGGGCGTTGAGACTGGCTGGTTGTTTTCTTGGGCTGGGGTCGCGAGGACGCGTGGTGTGTGGCCTGTGCGTGGTAATTGACGGTGAGAGGTTCAACGCATAGCAGCAAGAAGGATGCATGTCTGCTGGAGGCTGGGGTGATGTTTAGTCCTCCGTCATCGTAGTGACGTACACCCACCATTCTCCAAACTCCGAGTTTGCGAATGGCAAGTTGAGGACGCAAGTCACCAATTCGTTCAGGAGTAACAACATGGTGTGCAATGAAGACAGTTTCCAGAATGGTACTAAGTTCCCGAACAATGCCACTCACGTTGAAGTCAAACACCTGTCTCAGCTACTTCTTGAGATGAAGAAAAGTTCGTTTTTAACAAGCAATACCTGAAAGGTCTTCTGGCTTCTTCAGCCCAGGCTTTGAGCCTGTTCACAGATTCAAAGCATCATGAAGAAAGAGATCATAATCCCATTCAAGGTGAGAAGCGTGTGCATACTTTAACAGAGATGCAGCAAATGTGCTGAAAACTATTCTAACAGGTTTCAGTTTGTGTTTTGAGCCATTTTAAAGCAGGTATGCATGTGACCATATTCTTACATGTTGTCATGGGAACTGCAGCATGCAAACACTCTTGGCCTATCATGGGGAGTGTTGATAACTTATCAGAAAAGGTGTGCAAACCATCTAATTTGTATAACACATACATTACAGCAGAAATCAGCCAAAACATTGTATGGACTGAAGTACTTACCATCACAACTGTACTGCACTATGTCTTCAATGACCATGCTTTGCTATATTTGTTAGAGCTTAGTTGTTTTACAGACTATTAGATTTGATTATTAAAAAGATATCTTTGTACATGAATTCAACCTATAAATAAATCAGTTATGATTGGTTAACTTAATACAACTAGCCAAGATTAGCACATTGCTACCCAATGCTACTTGGAAACATCATGTATTTTACATGTTAAACTTGACATGTGATTTTAAATTGGTTTTGTAACATGACTTAGAAGTGCCTGACTGCCTTGCAGCTCAGCCCAGTCCGAACTAGTTTTATGCTCAGAAGTTGATGCAATTTATACTATTTCAGATGATTTTGCCTGTTTTAGTGATCAATATGATTGATGGAGGATATGAAATTTTTGATATTGCTTTATTTCAGTACTATGAATAATTTGTTAACCAAGCAACTGTTTTCTGCTTTCTGTTGTGATGCATAAATAAACTGTACATAAACTGTTGCAATTTAATGCAATATAAAAGTAATCCAGTGCACTGATAGCTACATTGGTCCTGCCCTATAGTATTGATTTCATTGAGTTGTTTTATGGCTTGCATGCTGCATATGAAACCATCTTGTATCTACCTAATTACTAAGTCAGCTGTACTCATTGCAGCCATCACAGCACCTGCTGTTAGCTTTTCATGATAGCCTGGATACATTTTTGTTGGGAGCATAGTTGCTGTGGAGTTTATGAAAGCTGATAGTGATAAAGACACATTTTCTACATGCCTCCAAATTTTTTAACTAGTAAATGCATAAATTATGTCATAAGGGTTTCATTAGCATGTGCAGTTTATGAACTCTGTAAACAAATGACTGCAAGCCAGATTGCACATGTGGCCAATCATTTAAACAAAATGCTGCATGGTATCAGCAGTGGCTGGTGATATGTAGGAAACACCATGATCACTATGAGGATGGTGGTCATGATCATTATGATTAAAAATGCAGTGACCACCATGCGTTGAAGTCCAGCCGGGGCTGTCTGCAGATGACCCAGTGTCAGCAGAGCTGTCTGCTGAGTTCGCCCAGCTGGATGAGGACTGCGCAGTGCTGCAGCAGCCCGTCTGCTTGGTGGTGCTGGGCGGCTCGAACGGAGCGCGCGCGGCGGTGGTGGCGGCACTGCTTGGCGAGCCCCTGCTGTCGCTGGCCGCCGCTGCCGAGCGCCGCTGGCCGTCGCTTGTCATCCGCGGCGCCTGCGATGACTTCGCCGTGCTGAGGGAGGAGCGCGGTGGCGTGCGGCGGCAGCACGACCTGGTGGTGCAGCACACAGAGCGCGGCCGCCATACCGAGCCGCCGTGCCTGCGACACCTCGACCACCCCCTCTCGGTGGGTGCCCGCACGGCCGTCAGCTGGTGTCACATGAGACCCACCGCGGGCAGGAGCTGTCTGCTGTTGCCCGGCCATCTGTGCTGATTCAACTGAAACACTGCATTTTGTTCAGATAGCTGGTAATCGCTGCACGTTTTACTTAATGCTGTAAGTGTCGCTAGAATAAGGGCTCACACCAGCCACTGGTCAGGGGCTCAACAAGTCACTGGTTGTCCCCTGACAGGACGAGTCTGAAGTGTGGGTGAACATAGGCCTGAACCACCCGCTGCTGAGGGGTGACCACGTGCGGCTGGTGGTGGCGCCGTCCGACCAGCCAGCCACAGTGCACAGACACCTGGAGGATGTGCTGCCAGTCTACCTGTACTGCACCTCTGGAGACTACCTCACTGCCCAGGTAACGGTCGGAGACGTTGACGTCAGTCTGTATGCCTGTCTACCAATGTAAAGGATCCTCCGACCCACAGTGTATTCGCACAACAACCCTCGTGTGTGTTGTGTGTGGGCTGCCACTGCCAGTTTGGCGAGTAGCTCGGCACCATCGCTGTTAGAAGCCTATCCTGCACCTGCCCTGGTGGTCACTGTCCATCATTTTCTGTTTCACAAAACAGTCGCGGAGATAGCTGAGCTGCATTCAAGCGTGCCGAGTACATGTTATGGCGTGCCGATGCGAATGGTCGCCAGAGTCACCAGACTAGCTCTCATCCTGACCATCTTCCAGTCAGAGATGACCGTGGCCCAGCATCCTCTCCAGCGCCCACTGAGCTCCGTGCTGGTGTTCTCGGACGGCTGATGACCGGCCTCTGCTGCCGGCAGGAGCGGTCCGAGTTGGCCGACCTGCACCGCATCACCGGCGGCCAGTCCGTGTTCTTCTGGTGCCCGGCGCGCGACGACGAGCCGGCGCTGCCACCGCCGCGGCCGTGCCTGACGCTGCACTGGCCGCACCGGGCGCGGCCCAGCCGCCTGCCGCCGGCCGAGCGGCGCGGCGGCGGCGACACCGCCGACCGCGCCTGCCTGGCACGCTTCTGCCGCCCACCGCCCGGCCCGCTCGTCCTCCAGCTGATAGCCGTCGGTGAGAGTCCGCTCTTGCAGCTGATAGCCTTCGGCGGATTGTGCCGAGCCTGACCGGGCGTCGCTGAGGCGGAGCCTCAACGTGCCACCGGCGGTCCGTGGTGCGGTCCGTGGCGGTCCGTGGTGCGGTCCGTGGCGGTCCGTGATGCGGTCCGCGGCAGTCCGTGATGCGGTCCGTGGTGGTCCGTGGTGTGGTCCGTGGCGGTCCGTAGCGCGGTCCGGGGTGCTCCGGGCCGGCTGAGAACTCATCTTCCCGCCGCCAGTGGAGTATCTTTCATGAGGTTTTCGTATAGAACACCTCATATACGGTGAAGTGGTGTACCGTTATTATATTTCTAGCGGATCGTTTTTTCGGAAGTTTGCCTTCATCGACTAAAACACGTGACAAAAGCTCCTGTACCTTTCTTTGTAAGCACCGGGGTGTGAGCGGCACAGTGACGTCACGGGCCGTTGATTGTTGCATTTGACGTGGACAGCTGCCATGGTGTGACGTGGTCCCGCGGCGGGCAGGGTACGAGTTCAGCGCGTGCCCGCCGGCGGTGTCCGGCCAGCCGGTGGACGAGCTGTGGCTGAGCTGCCAGCTGGCGACAGGGTCGGCCGGCCTGCTGGCGCTGGCGCCCTACCTGCGCACCTGGCTCCAGCTACGCCTGCTGCTCGCCGCGCACCGCATCAACAAGGTGAGCACCGGCGGCCGGCCGGCGCCAGCCCGCCCTCACTCGTGAGACGCGCGGCGCCCACACGGCGCCTGTGTAGCCCCCGTTACCAACACCATGCGTGCGTCAGCGGGCCGCTGGCAAAAAGGGCGGGGCCAACCGACATGTGATGGGTCCGAGAGGACACCCCCATTTTTCAGTTCGCGGAAAATTCTAAGCGAATTTAAAACAAAAATAGTATATTTTTTGCCCGGGCATTTTAGGATGACAACCAGCCACGGTTCGTCTTGACATGTGTTTGCTCGTGTGCGTGTGTTGTACCCATTCCCTGAATTACTTTCACGGGCATACGGGGTGGAAAACGTCGTTCCACCACGTACATCTCTTTTTGGTAGATGCGCTCGCGTAAAATGATACTTGCAGACGGTGCTCACTATGTAGGCGTCCTGCAGGTTTGAATAATTCCAGCAAATGCTCAGAACGTTCAGACTGACCACAACCTGGAAACATTGCCGTTTTGAGCGTGTGTTGCAGCAGCGCGCGTGCTGCTGCGGGCACGTTCTCTACGGGCACGTGACATTCTCGTTAGCAGAGTAGCAACACCTCTTGTCTTTGTTCTACCTCCGCTACTATCTGCCACACCTTGCCTGGAGCCGAGGTGGCGGTATGTAGAGGACCCAGTGGCGCTGGGGGCGAGCCTCGCCCGCTCAGTCTGTGCCGTGTGCTGTGCCACAACGCCACCTTCCACCGCCAGCCTTGCAAACTGAAGACGGCCACAGCTGCGCGACCGGCCGGCCGGACCACTCGGGCCAGCTGGTCGGCGGCTCGGTCCGGCTGAAACCCGCCGTGCTGTCGCTGTCCCCGTGGTTGTGCCTGATATTTATTCACGCGGAATGGGTGGCTGGGATCCCTGCTGTGTCGGGCCCCGTTGTGTCGGACCCTGCTGTGTCGGGCCCCGCTGTGTCGGTCTCCGCTGTGTCGAGGTTGTTTCGGACCCCCTGCGTCGGACCCCCCTGCGTCTGACCCCCCTGTGTCGGACCCCGCCGTGCCAGGCGCCACCATCTGAATGCCGGCCGTGTCCAGCCCCGCAATGCCTGTGCGACCGTCACCGCTGGCCGGGCCGCCTGCAGGCGCTGAACCAGCTGCTGCGAGCCTTCATCCTGTCGGCGTTCGACATGGCACGCGAGATCCAGATCACACCGCGCCGGCTCCAGTACGCCCGCCAGAAGGAGACGGAGCTCTTCGACAATGTCATGAGCATCGCCGACAAGAACCAGCTGCAGATGTCCCAGCTGGTCAACCGCACCACGGCTAGCATGCGCGAGGAACTGCTGGCCCAGGCGGCCCTGCATCAGTTCAGAGGTGAGCAGCCGAGGCAGCAGCCGTGACCAGGCTGTCAGGATGTGTCAGAAAACAGGCGTACGAGCGTCATCGTCGGCGCATTGTCAGCAGCTGGGGTGGGGAGCGGAGGTGGCGTTGGCCGGCGCTGTCAGGTGGCCGCCGGCCGGGCCGCACCGTCGCCGCTTCGCGGCCGCTGCGACCGCGCACCTGTGTCGCGGCCTTCGCCAGTGTGCCATACGGAGGTGAGTCGACGCCGTCAGACAGGGCGGCGGGCTGTAGCACCGGCGTCGGCTGGGCCGTCGCACCGACGCCGGCCGGGCTGTCGCACCGGCGTCGGCCTGGGCTGTCGCACCGGCGTCGGGCGGGCTGTCGCACCGGCGTCGGGCCGGGCCGTCGCACCGGGTCGGGCCGGGCCGTCGCACCGGCGTCGGGCTGGGCCGTCGCACCGGCGTCGGGCTGGGCTGTCGCACCAACGCCGGGGGGCTGTCGGCCGCTGCGGTGTTGCCAGCCGCCCCCGGTCGATCTGGCTTGAGATAACGCACGTGCTGCGCTTTTTATCCTGCCCACGGCTGGCAAGGTCGGGCTGTGTTGAACCGGGCCCCCGCCCCAGGCCTGTGTCGCAGACGAGTTGCAAGAATGTGCAGCAAGTTTTGGGAAGGAGTTTTGCAGGCATGAACTTAACTTGCTATTCCTGGGATGTCTGTACTATTTTCGTATATAAACGCTTGGGCAGGGTCCGTGCAAAGCAGCTGGCGTAAAATGATGGCAACGGCCTAAAATCCACATCATGCCTACATGCTGCACGCATTGGGAAGCACGTGTTGCTAATGTATAGATAGCATTATTGGTAAGTAAAGTCAATGAGCGCCAAAGCCATTGCACACCAATGTAATCCATTAGCAATGTTCTGCAGCAGTTGTAGCAGACCTTGTTCACCAGACAACGGCCACCAGAGGTGAAGAGTTTTATGAGGTCACTGACAATCAGAACAGTGTGAAGATTCGGCCCTCTCGCGCCACACCGGTAGGAAAAAGGTGCGGCTCGGCCGCGCCTTTTTTTGCCATTCCGGAAACGAATGGCCCTGCGACGACGTCAGCGCTAGCGAGCTGAAAAAAACAGTTCATGTAAACAGAGCCAGACAAGCGCTGGAATGTGCAATGCCGAAGAGAGGCACTGGAACATACAGCGGAACATCTGAGAAGAGAGGGGGGGGGGGGGGGGCAGGGCAAAGCATCCATCCGGTGGGGTTACGATTGTTGGCCGTTTTGGCATTGTAGAATCTCTTGCTTGTTTGTCGTTTGATTTCGCAGCAAGATCAGACTCAGAGGCAGCTTCAAAGATGTAGAGCAAATGACAGCTTGCTCATACCCTAGGCCGCAGTGTGGCCGTCTGCTGCTGTCAGTTTGACCCACCCTATGGTGCCAGACCGCTCTACACCGTCGCATGGCATGGGCAGCTGGCGCCAGTGCCCGCGTGGGAACACTGATCAGGCGGCCAGAGTTGTCAGTATTGGTGAACTCCATACACGTATTGATCGCCCATCACGTGGGCACCCCGGTTATTTTTTTTGTTGTGTCCATTTATGGGAAAAGTGGAATATTTCATGCATCGTTGCCGTGAATAATTGTTGCTGTCGGGAGGTGACGTGAGTGACGAGGTGACGAAGTTCGGACTTTTCGTTGTTCCGGAGTGAGATGAGGTCGCTCGGTAGGCAACAACAACTAACACAGTGTGATTCCAAATCCTCGTCATCGTAGGTCGCATGCCGCAATTCCTATGATTGGGAAGATTAATTAGACTTGGCTGGAGTCCATGGACGCCTCGGACGTACTCACGTGGCGGCGAGAGCGAGCGTATGGTCGATATGGCAAGCTAAGCCTTGTACAGTGTCGGTCCATCTGCGTAAGGCAGAACTCTCGACAAGCGGTCCCATTATGACTGAGCTCCACCGTAGTATGGCTGGGACGGTACATGCCGTGGCCACCTGACAGAATCCTTCCATCGTGACAGCAGCGATGCTAGAGACAACCTTCCGCGAATCGAGGACCGCTGGCCTGGTCGTGTCGGACATGCGCGACCAAAGCGCCGAGTCAGATGCACCTAGACGTGTGTTTGTGACTGGTCGTTCAATTTATCCGGCTTCGGCGGACGTGAGCCGTCCGTGTCGGCCTTGGACACCGGGCGGCGCTGTCGAGGTTTGCTTCCCATGTTAGGGACGAGGCGCCGCTGAACGGCGGAGGTACGCCGCGTGCATGCCCCGCGTGTGTACGGCGCGGTGCAGCCTCGGCGGCTGGTAGCGGCACGAACGTCAACACTGGATGTCGACCCAAGCTTTCACGCTTCGAGCCATCCCGTGCATATCTTGAGGCGTTACACGAATGGTGACTTGGAGATCACTTTCTCTTTCGGGTCAAAGTTCAAGCCGAGACGGGGCCTACGGAGCATGGTATTGTGTCATCTCAAAACTTCTACGTCTTTCGCGTCTGGAAATAGGCCGCTATGAACGTGCTCTAATCCGCTCTCGTGCGTATTCTGCGGGATGTATTTGCGGATGCTGTGTCGCAGATCGCCATATATTTGCGGATGCTTTGGCGCGCATCACGATGCGCTTGCGGATGCTGCATTGTAGATCACGCTTAATGGGTTCGATATTCTTTAAAAAAAACAACATCTGTCCAGTCACAGCAGGTGCACGGCCATAGACAGGTCCTTTTTACGACATGCTGTTCAGCCGGCCTTGCAGCAATGTTACGGATGATCGGGCTGCGATGCTCGAGAGAGGAACCTTCAACTTTGCCAGTTTTGAAAGCATGTAAAATAAGATCAGTTCCCACTGATAAAGCCGGGTTTGTTTAATTGTTGCAGAGCACTGAACGAATGCTTGGCGAAGAGAAAAACTTCATGTAGAGCCAGGAGAGGTGACGCAACTGTCCAAGTGCTTAGCAAAATGATTATAACTTCTTATGGCACCTTCAGTTACATTCGCGTGCGGATGGCTGGAATAAGACCTCACAAGTATTTGGGCTCCAGCTTCTGAACTAATTCAGCTACAGTCTTGAAACCCAGCTACTTTTGCAAAACATTCCTTTCGTATCGCGCTCTGTAAATGCCCGAAAGCTAGAGCAGTCAATGGTCACTTCAGGTTTTGACGTAGAGAGGCACATTCCAACCAGTGGCATGCATTTCCGTGGAGCGTATTGGGTGTAATATATGGCATGCCTCGTGGCAGAAAAGTGCGTTTCTTTGTGGTGTGTTCAGTTTTTGGTAGCAAGCACGGAATGGAATTGGGATGACAGGGACTGGACTCAGGGGGCAAAGCGAAGAAATCGCCTTTGCTTCGGCCCGTTACAGCGGTACGGTTACAGCACAGGTCACTCTTTTTCATGCTATTCATATATCCATGGTTGCGAAAAGAGCCTTGAGCAGTTAGGAAATAAGACTTCCTGAAAATAAAGTTTTGTTGCGGTTATATTTTCTTTGCTGACATCGCTCACGCGTGGATTTTTTGGTGGTAGCCATCCAGGTAGATAAGACATGAATTCGTTTCAGACCAGTTGTGGCCTGATCTGTTTATTTGATTCTGGAATATGTGGCGATAGAACCTCTCTCCCTGTCCTCACTGAAATTTCAGAGCCCAAACAGTTACGCTCAGACTACAAGTCCTTCTGTAGCCACCCAAGGACGGCGCCAAGCGCTGTAGTCTGTGCAGCTCTTTCCTGGGCGTGTGTTGGGGCTCACACCACACGCGAACGCCTTGGCTCTGTGCAGCTCTCTCCTGGGCGTGTGTTGGGGCTCACACCACACGCGAACGCCTTGGTTCTGCGTAGCTCTCTCCTGGGCGTGTGTTGGGGCTCACACCACACGCGAACGCCTTGGCTCTGTGCAGCTCTCTCCTGGGCGTGTGTTGGGGCTCACATCACACGCGAACGCCTTGGTTCTGCGTAGCTCTCTCCTGGGCGTGTGTTGGGGCTCACACCACACGCGAACGTCTTGGCTCTGTGCAGCTCTCTCCTGGGCGTGTGTTGGGGCTCACACCGCGCTCTTGGCCCGGCGTAGCTCTGTCTTTGGCGTGTTGGGGTTCACACGACACAATAAACCACTGGCTGTGTGTTGCTCTCCGCTGGGCTATGCTGGGGTCCACACCACGTGCTCCGTTAGTTTCGCTCTCCGATAGTGGCGAAATTTGTGGTAGTTCCGTTCGCTGGGACGCCCGTCAAGCCAAATGTACGACCTGTCGGTTTTCGCGGCCTCTGGTGACGTCACGCGGCCCGGGCGGGCGACGCTCCTCCGTGACATGTCCGCACCCGTCATTGATCTGCATCTGATTCACGCTATCGATCCGCGACGAAGGTCAATGCCGTGCGGGTAATCTCTGCCAGAGCGTGGTGATGAAACCGCCGACAATCGGCTGCAGGCGCGGCGATGCGCGCCGACCCGTGAGGTCCCCGCAACCCGCCGATGGGCGACGGCGCGATCTCGGTGGCGCATCAGTGCAAGTCGCGACCTAAGCTTGTCTTGACACGCATACACACACACACACACACACACACACACGCACGCACGCACGCACGCACGCACGCACGCACGCACGCACGCACGCACGCACGCACGCACGCACGCACGCACGCACGCACGCAAAGAACAGGGGAGACGCCGTCGCCATGCGACTGACATGACGTGATTTCGTGCTCTTGCTGTGAGTCAATGGTGTACTGCCGTCTGTCTTTGTTACTGCTTTGGTGTGCGGTGGATCCTCAGCGAGAAGTGTCCAGTGCCTGTTTACATGTTACTTCTTCCTGGTAGTTTCGTTGTGGGTCGGTGTGTTGGGACCGCCGCTGTCGTACAGGTGTGGAGGTGTCGGAGAGTGGCGAGGTCCGCTGTGTTGTGGGTCGGTGTGTTGAGACCGCCGCTGTCGGACAGATGTGGAGGTGTCGGAGAGTGGAGAGGTCCGCTGTGCTGAGACCGCCGCTGTCGGACAGATGTGGAGGTGTCGGAGAGTGGAGAGGTCCGCTGTGTTGTGGGTCGGTGTGTTGAGACCGCCGCTGTCGGACAGATGTGGAGGTGTCGGAGAGTGGCGAGGTCCGCTCGGCGCGGCAGCTGCAGCAGTGCACGGCCGAGATCCAGAACCTGCTGCTGGGCGCGCTGAACCGGGCCGTGGCCGGCCAGCTGGTCGGCAGCGTGGACTACATGCAGGAGCGGTTCGTGGGCACGCTGCAGCGCTGCCTGCTCTCGTTGGAGGCGCACGACGACGGCAGCGCCGGCGCCAGCAACGCCCTCAAACAGGTGAGCGGCCGGCGCCAGGAGGCGACCAGGCGGCGAACTGCCACCGGTGCGACTGCGGCTGGTCAGTGAGACAGGCGGTTACGCCGAGCGTGGATGACTTCTATGTCGGCAATGCCGGTTTATGCGCTGGTGTATGGGTACCATCGAGTGACAGCCTTGGCAAATGCTGCGCGGACCGTTTTGCCGGGCTGATATTGCAATGCATTTACAACAGCTGCCGGTATCCCAGTCTGTAGTGTTTTGCTCAATCGTCCATTGCGGTGCGTGCGTCGACATGACGCGCGGGTGGGACGGACGGTCCGCCACCCGACTGCGCATCCAGAGCCTTGTCCTGTGACCTCCGGCCTTCGGGCGCCGACTCCTGCGCGCTTCCCGGCAGATCCTGAACTCGGCCTACAGCCTGGAGCTGTCGGTGCAGACGTCATCGAGCGTCATCACGTCTCTGTGGGAGCGGCTGAAGCAGCTGCTGGACGTGATGCCCTGGAAGACGCCGCCCTGCGTGGACGCCCTCTGGCGGCGGCGTGTTGCCACCGAGATGCTGGACAATATCAACGAGCTGCGCCTCAGTCGGATCATCTGCTCCCAGGTGGGCGGAGACCGCCCCGACAGATTACTGACTGCTCCCAGGTGGACCGAGAGCGCGCCGACAGGCCACTGACTGCTCTCGGGTGGGCCGAGACCGTGCCGACAGACCACTGACTGCCTCCAGGTGGGCCGAGACCGCGCCGACAGACCACTGACCGCTCCCAGGTGGGCCGAGACCTCGCCAACAGACCAATGACTGCTCCCAGGTGGGCCGAGACCGTGCCAACAGACCACTGACCGCTCCCAGGTGAGTCAGGACCACGCCGACAGACCACTGACTGCTCCCAGGTGAGTCAGGACCACGCCGACAGACCACTGACTGCTCCCAGGTGGGCCCAGACCGCGCTGACAGACCACTGACCGCTCCCAGGTGGACCGAGACCGCGCCGACAAACCGCTGACTGCTCCCAGGTGGGCCGAGACCGCGCTGACAGACCACTGACCGCTCCCAGGTGGGCCGAGACCGCGCCGACATACCACTGACTGCTCTCTGGTGGGCTGGGACCGTGTCAACAGACCGCTGGCTGCTCCTAGGTGGGCCGGCACCGCGCCGCCAGTTGACCGCCGCCCACTGCTCCCAGCCGCCCGCACTGGCAATGGATTGTCGTGCAACATTACGTAAAAACGTTGGTGCTTACAAGCCAGAAAAGCTAAAAACACATTTTCGTGTAGAAATACGCACAATGAATGCCTCTCAGATTACTGGAATTTTAGGCCCGATTACATGAATTCATAGAATTTAAGAGGATAATTTCTTAAACTGCATAGTAAAGAAATGACCGCGAAATTTGATATTATGTCAGACAACATCCACCCCAGCCTAACAAACTCTGTTGTGTTTGTCACTGCTGACGCTGTGCCGCACTGGTTATACTGGCGGTGGTCGAGGCGGGTGGTGCCTGGGGGACTGACGATCACACCGGTAATTCACGGAGCGTCCACAGTCGTCCACATTCACGTAGCGTCCACAGTCGTCCACATTCACGGAGCGTCCATGGTCGTCCACATTCACGGAGCGTCCACGTTCGTCCACATTCACGGAGCGTCCACAGTCGTCAACATTCACGGAGCGTCCACAGTCCACATTCACGGAGCGTCCACAGTCGTCCACATCCACGGAGCGTCCACAGTCGTCCACATTTACGGGGCGTTCACAGTCGTCCACATTCACGGAGCGTCCACAGTCGTCAACATTCACGGAGCGTCCGCAGTCGTCCACATTCACGGAACGTCCACAGTCGTCCACATTCACGGAGCGTCCACGCTCGTCCACATTCACGGAGCGTCCACAGTCGTCCACATTTACGGAGCTTTCACGTTCGTCCACATTCATGGAGCGTCCACAGTCGTCCACGTTCACGGAGCATCCACAGTCGTCCACATTCACGGAGCGTCCACAGTCATCCACATTCACGGAGCGTCCGCAGTCGTCCACATTCACGGAGCGTCCACGTTCGTCCACATTTACGGAGCGTTCACAGTCGTCCACATTCACGGAGCGTCCGCAGTCGTCAACATTCACGAAGCGTCCGCAGTCGTCCACATTCACGGAGCGTCCACAGTCGTCCACATTCACGGAGCGTCCACGTTCGTCCACATTCACGGAGCGTTCACAGTCCACATTCACGGAGCGTCCACGTTCGTCCACATTTACGGAGCGTCCACAGTCGTCCACATCTACGGAGCGTCCACAGTCGTCCACATTCATGGAGCGTCCACAGTCGTCCACATTCACGGAGCGTCCACAGTCGTCCACCTTCACGGAGCGTTCACATTCGTCCACATTCACGGAGCGTCCATAGTCGTCCACATTCACGGAGCGTCCCAGGGATCCACAGTCGGGCCGCTTTTCTTCACCCTATTCCCAGTCATCTGTCACATGGACGCCTCATCTCATCTCACATGCACGTGACATTCAGCTGCTAGACCACAGTAGTCTTGACGCACCAAAACGTCGTCTGGGAATGTCAGGCTGTGAACTCCAGGCGTGGTTCAACGCAAACTTGGCTGGACATGACCAAGGGCTTAAACGACGTTGCCTGATAGGTTCAAAATATGATTAAATGAAAACCCGTGATTTTCACTTATGAGACGGAGGGGCCGTATTACCTGCACGGCGCGTCCAAGTTCTCGGTGCAGTAGTAGACTCGACGCTTTCGTGGGAGAAGCATGTCGCCAAAGGTGAACAAAAATGCAACTAAATTCAAATCTCGCTGTTCAGACATTACTTTACGCCTCATGATCTCATAATGTTTATCGACTCCTACGTTTTCCACATAGCTCACTGTCTGTACGTATGGGGCTGCACTCAAGTGCCGAGTGAAGAGGATTCAGAAAGTTGTAAACTTTTTCCTCCACGACTATAGGGCGTGAAACACAACCAGCATATACTGCCATCTAAGCTGGTCTTTTATTGATGACTTGGTGAAAGACAGGAATGTGTTAAAAGCATTAGAAGTGCTAAGATACAAAGAATCGTCCCCGGCTAATGCTAGGTCACTGCCTTAGCCCATGCCCATGCTAGTCATCTGTGTGATTGTACGCCAGATGTATGTACGTGGACAATTTTTGCATGTGGGGAATCTTTGCATGCCGCTGTGTTGCGTGCAGTGCTTACCGTGCTGCGTATCTGGCACTCACCGACGCCGGCCGCTTCGGCAGCTGCGCGAGCGGCTCCGCTGCGCTCACGAGGCGTTCGTGCACTCGATCGGCCGCCTGGAGGCGCAGCTGGCCGGCCAGCTGGAGCAGACCGAGCGCGACCGGCTGCGCATGAAGAAGCAGCACGCGCCGCACGTGGCGCGCCTGGCCCTGCAGGCGGCCGCGTACGTCGACTCCGCGCGCTTCGGTAAGTGGGCGCTGGCGCGTGTGGAGGTAACGGATCCAGTGCTGTGTCTATATATCCGTGTAGGTGTATTTCGTATTATTTTTCTTTTTCCGAGGGCTTGGAAAACACGGAGGTTTATGGGCATTTGAAAAATCTAATTTGCTAGTAGTGGATTCATGTACCTTGAATTCTATCATACAGACAGGGGATGTAAGAGGTTTGGCTTTAGGTTCATGTGATGTGGTCCACGTGGTGCCCGACAAAACCAGGATGACTCGGACAGCGCGGATTGACGAGGAGCGCGCGCACGCCTCTGGACGTCACGTCCAGCAGCCTGCGCGCGCCGCCGACCCGTGTTGGCGAGGTGGCGGCGCGGCCGGGGCTCTGACGGCGCCGGCGCCCGGCGCTCAGGTGTGCCGCAGCTGTCGGCCGAGATCGGGCGCGGCCAGTACGGCGTGGTGTACAGCAGCAGTGCCTGGGCTGGCCGCCGAGACTGGGCCGTCAAGTCGGTCATCCCTCCCGACGAACGGCACTGGAACGACCTCTCCATGGAGTACTTCTACACACGGTGGGTGGGCGCGTGGAAACAGGGCTGGACCCCAGAACGGGGGGTTTCCAGTGTGAGGCTCGCTACTGACCGTCTTCTGCGACGATTCGAGGAGATAGTGAGTCGAAGTCGAGGGGCTAACGTGACCCGAACACGTCTGGATAGACTGGGTAGGATAGACACGGACGTCTTGAAATGCTCGAACGATCATGAAGGCTGCCTGGTGACGTTGCTTGCTGTGGATTTGCGAAGCGAAGCAGTCTGGATGTATTTGCCAGCTTGTGGTGAAGTACCGACGTCACAGGACCCAGGTGGTGTTCTTAGAGGTGATGGGGCCTCACTGCCTCAGCTTCCTCGTGACAGTAGCAGTTCACACGAAGTTAAACGTGCACGAAAATGTGAACATGCTGATAGCGGCCGGCGAGAACAAACGACGGCGCCTCAAGCGCCTGTGGTAACGTGAGTTGCGGAAGCCAAAAACGTGTCCGCTTGTAGCGCTAGCGACCATTTCTTTTCATGGCGTCTGTCAGGGGCATGCTATGTTTTGAGTTATGCGAAGCCTCACGTCTGTGTTTGTAAGTTGCTGCGTGTCTTATTGCCTTCGATCGTCTCTTTCATACTGCGCTTTCGTACCGCCCCTCGTGTGCTATGGTGGAGTCCGTGTTTAATTTGTGCGTGTTTCTATGTGTTACGATCATGTCTACCATGACTGCTGTGGCCCATAGGGCTGTGTCCGTGACACGCGCTATGACTTAAGAGACTCGCACTGCGACACTGCGGCGCTGGCCGTGACAGCTGCGCGACGGACTATGGGCAGCTACTGACTGGCAGCGTCTGCCGACTGCGCTGTCTGCTCTGATTCGTCGGCTTTCGTTCCATACGCTGTGACTGCTACATAGCGAGGCGTAATGTGATTGTCCTGGCATAGACTCAGTGCTGTAAGTCACATCATGCCAGTGAATCCCATGATTGTTGTGATGCCACTGATTGTCATGGTTTATGCGATGGGGGTACCGATAGTGCAGTGGTTAAACTGCGCCTGTGGAGAACCAGACGTACGGGGTTCGATTCCCCGCGGTATCCTCCCTTCCGGCCAGGATGCGAGGCAGGTGACGCCGTGTAGCCTCAGCAGCTGGGCGCGTCGTAAAGCCTCAGTGACTCGGCCCGTGCGACGATGACGCGGCCGCGCCGCGCCGCCAGGTCGCTGCCGGAGCATGAGCGGGTGGTGAGCATCCGCGGCATCGTGATTGACTACAACTACAGCCACAGCCGGCTGTCAGCCGCCCTGCTGCTGATGGAGCGCATGCACAGCGACCTGTACCTGGCCATCCAGGACGGCCTCGACCTGCGCACCCGGCTCAAGGTCAGCTGACCAGTCGGCCCGCGCTGCCGGACCTGCTCCGCCTCGACGCGGACTCGTCCTCGACCTGTCCAGTGCCTGCCCGGGTCAAGGCCAGTGTTGACCGCTTGGGTGAAAAGGCCGCTCGCAACCAGACTCACATCGACCTGCCTTGCGATGTTTGTGTGAGGGATATGGCGCGTCAGATTCGCATCATGAAGTGTAATTATTGTGTTGTGACTCAGTATTATGATGCGTTCCCAGGTTGCCATGGACGTGGCTCAGGGCGCTCGGTTCCTGCACTCCCAAGGGCTCATTCACAGGGACATCAAGCTGAAAAATGTGCTGGTAAGGCCTCTGGTCGGCACAGACAACATTGGCAGGGTGACACGCAGCCGTCATTATTACAGATGCTGGCGACAGCATCTGTGGGTGTACCCTCTGAACGTGTAGTATCAAAACGCCAAGTTGTAAAGCTACATCTGTGAACTAAATTTCTGGTTTTTCTGTTCTGTTTTACAATGTAAGATATTGGCAAGTATCTACAGATCGCAATAGATATTTTGACATCCTGTCTCCGCCCAATTGCACTGAAATGATCCCATGCGAGGCATATCGCACCAAAGCAGGTGTGTGGGATTCTTTTTGGTATGCCTCGTGCTTGACAGAATATCAAGCGATTGCGTACATACTTGGTTGCGCTTATCACTGTGTGAGTTTGTGTTTTTAATTCCGTCCCCCTCCTTTGTTTTAGTGTTTGTTATCGCCTTTTGCCTCGTAGGCGGGACCGTCAGGGCTGGCACGCCGACGCCAGTGTCAGGGCTGCAGAACGGTGACAGCCAGCTGCCGTTTTCAGTTGGACGACGCGAACCGCGGCAAGCTGTCGGACCTGGGCTTCTGCAAGCCAGAGGCCATGATCTCAGGCTCGGTGGTGGGCACGCCGATCCACATGGCGCCGGAGCTGTTCAGGTGAGAGCGGCCACCGCCCGGCTGCGTGCGCCGATCCACATGGCGCCGGAGCTGTTCAGGTGAGAGCGGCCACCGCCCGGCTGCGCACGCCGATGCACATGGCGCCGGAGCTGTTCAGGTGGGAGCGGTCACCGCCGGGCTGCGTGCGCCGATCCACATGGCGCCGGAGCTGTTCGGGTGAGAGCGGCCACCGCCCGGCTGCGCGCGCCGATCCACATGGCGCCGGAGCTGTTCGGGTGAGAGCGGCCACCGCCTGGCTGCGTGCGCCGGCGGCGGTGCCCGCCGCCGAGACGGCCTCAGAGACGGTTGGCAGCCAGTCCGGTCCACGTCAGTCAGACCAGTCCACGTTTGGCATGCGGGACTCAGCTCGACGTAGGCCATTTGTATTCATGTGCTCGTCTCAGTCGACTCTTGTTGAGTTTTCGAGCGGCAGACGCGTCGGATGTCCACTGCGAAACCCCATGGGTGCTCGTACACCGGTCTACGATGCTGGACCGTGCGTACTGCACTTGACCCATGTACACCACAAGTCCATGTACACCCGTCATCCTCTGGTGTTCGCGCCGCAGCCCCGCTTCTGGTCAGCCCTGCCTCCCACTGGCTGTTCGAATGCTGACCGGACCCTTGACCCTTGTCCGCCCCCGCGCCTGACCTGCCCCGCCTCTGACGTACCCGGTTTCTGACCTACCCGGTCTCTGACTGACTCGTCTTTTTACCTGCCCCACATCTCTCCGTCCCCGCCTCTTGACTGAACCCCCTTCTGAGCTGCCCACATCTGCCCAACTCTGTTTCTTAACTGGCCCTCTTCTGACCTGTCCAATGTTTGCCTGGCACCGCCTTCTGCGGACCCCTTCTCTGACCGCTCCCTGATCTCTGGCAGTGGCAAATACGACAACAGCGTGGACGTGTACGCATTTGGCGTGCTGCTCTGGTACATCCTCTCTGACGACGTGCGGATGCCGGCCGTCTACGAGCAGTGCGACAACAAGAATGACTTGTGGAAGTGCGTCAAGCGAGGTGAGCACGCCCAGAAACAGCGACGGCGCCGAGGCATCATGGCGCTACGCCTGGTGTCGCAGCCATACTACGGGGCAGACCATAACTGGTCGTGGAGACCATTTTACACCGGCCCAGGTGGCCAGTTGAGTACCCTTCGTTCGGGCGGGGGTCAGTTTGGCCCCCCTGAGATCTAAAAAGCAAGCGAGCTGGAGACACCGAATTCACAGGGTGTGTTGACCTGTATTAGAGCTCACTTGTGTCAAAGTTTGAAATTTCTAGGTCATGAACCTCGGGTGACATAAGGTCGGACAAGATCGAACCTCAGAATGGTGTCCATAGTGCCTCCAAACCTTCTCATGCAACCGCCGCGAATCTAGGTACCTGTTCTAAGCAAAAGGTCACTGGTGCTTATGTTAGGTTGGTAAACTTGTTTGATCTTAAGGTTGAAGTGGCCAAAGTCATACAAGACTGTTTTTTGCATTTGAGCAAGTATCAAAGAATACGCTTAGCGACATGTTCCTGAAAACGAAATGTTGACCTGCGTTATTTAAGATCATCGATATATTTGGCCTTTAAGAAATCCATGGAAAATATGTGATGCGGTCCCTGTTATAGTTAAAAAACAGGTTGGTTTTGAGCTTGGTCTGACCTTCGTACCTGACCCTAGGTGAATTTAATTTCATCGCTTCAATTGTTCTGTTGCTTAAAAAGCGATCTCAGAGATGTATGGCTTCGTCTAACGCTTTGCTGTCGCAACATATTGAACGATTTCCTTGAAATTGCTCCGGTTGAATCCATGACCTGACTTCATAGGGCAGTGACCTTACAAGGTGCATCTGAATTTTTGGTACCAAAAGATCTGTCATTCAAATGTCTACAGCTATTCCAATTTGGCGCGGCTATGCCGCAGCGTTCGGAAATCATCCCGAAAAACCTTGGGGTGGTCAGATCGACCCCCGCCCGAGGGTGTATTAAGATGATGGGTTGCTCGCCGACGGGAGTGCAAGCCGTCTGCCGCGTCATGGCCTGTCTTCAACCCAATCCTATGACAGCCTTAGCAGCCCGAACAACTTGCTTTGGCGGCGCATGTGCCGTTGTCCGCATGTCCAATACTACCCACACCACCGCATGCCCCTCCTTGTGGCGCGGATGAAGGGTGCACGGGGTGTCGGTAGTGTAGTGGTTAACGCGTCTGCGTTAACCGCTGCGCGTCTCGAAAACCAGAGGTTCGGGACTCGATTCCCCGCGGTGCCCGCCCTTCCTGCCAGGGTGAGAGGCAGGCGACGCCATATAGCCCTAGCAGCTGAGTGTGTCGCAAACGCCCAGCGGCACACACAAGGGTGTAAAGAAAGCCGGTGTCCTGTTATGTGGCAAAGTGTTGAGCGCAGTCTCGTGTTCCTCCGTGCGAGGCGCGATTGCGTGCGTATTAAACCGCGTGCCACCCCCGTCTCAGCGAGTGAGGCAGGCGGGCGAGGGGTCATGCCCCTACCTGAGGCCGGCCAGTCTCCATGACCAACCATCAGCGACTTCTGGCTCGTGTCGAACTGCTGTCTCAGACGGCGACACGGGCGGGTTGTCGTGACCTGTCTCGGGGACGGTGTGCGTGTGCGACCCGTCGGATGTGTGTTGTGTGTGTGACGGCAGGCGGGCGTCCGTGCCGGCCGCGCAGCTGCAGTGACCTGGGCTGGGAGCTGACCCAGGCCTGCTGGCGCGGCGACCCCCGCCAGCGGCCCCTGTTCGGGCCGTGGTCGAGCTCCAGCTGCACCAGATGCTGGACCAGCTGCGGGAGACGCCTGCCGCGCCCGCCCTAGGTACGCCCCCCCCCCCCGGCCCCGCCCCCTTCCGGCTAGTCAGCAGGCTGCTGCCGGTATCCTGCACTGCTTTGAGGCCTAGTTGTGGTTGTTTCCAGGATTGTCAAGATTGTTCGCGCAGAGTTCGAGGTCACTCGAAGTATTGTGATGCAGCTCATGTTCATATGCTGTGATACATTCAATGAGTATCTTTACGCGTGGATCTGTGCCCTGCATTGACTGGGATTGAAATGTACATGCTTTACAGTTCCACCAGTTCACAGCAAGTCTCAGAATGCTTTGCGTTCCTCATTCAAGGCATGACTTGTCGTGTCAGTTGGCATCGCCGGACGGTCTGAGCGGCAGTGCTAAGGGCGATGATGGCGTCCGTGGTGAGGGCTGTGATGAGGGCCGTGGGGAGGGCGGTGATGACGGCCGTGGTGAGTGGTGAGGGCCATGATGACGGCCGTCTACCGTACCCAAGGACCAGTGGCTGCGCCTGACTCTGCCTGCGCTCTCTCCGTCCGTTTACAGAGGCCGGCGCCGTGATCCCCTGCTGGTCGTGAGCGGCCGGCGGCGGCTCCAACGCCTCCCCTTCGCTCTCTCTCCCTTCCATACCTGGCTGTGATTGCGCCGCACCGCGGCAGACTGCGTGGACGCGCGCCATCGGTAGCACCACTCGGTGCCTTCCGGCTTTTAGCGGTGTAG